CAAAGTATACGAGTTTATCTATTGCATTTTTTATCAACTATAAATCACACGCACACACATACTTGCATGTTTAGCGACATGTAGCTCACCCAAAGCGCACCAAAAACTAATTTTAAGTGTAAAAATGAATAAACAAAAGCGTGTGCTTGATGGTAGCCTGTAATTGGATTCGTCCAGCGTGGCTACTTCATTATCAAACTTTTGTATGCAAATGGATTTTGGAGAAGCCTGTGCTAATAAGTAAGAGGCTTCATGGAAATGTATTTTATATTTAAATTATTTCGTCGAAGTTTTCTTTTTGGTGTCAAGGCAACAATGGAGTCTATCGAAAGCGCCCCAGTTACGGATTAGGGGCAGGCAAGAACAAAAGAAATGCAAAAAAGAAAAATGTATATTTATTTGTATTTACATGGATGTGTGTAAGAGAGCATTAACGCTAACAAAGAAGTGAGCGTGTCAAGAATTTTTCGCGGCCCATAATTACGATTGGCATGCGATGGTGCTGCGTCAATTGCGTGACCGTGTTGGCAGGCATAATAAATGCAAAAGCAGCAACAACAACAGCAAACAAATCAAAATTCAACGTACTGTTAGGTGTATGTCTGTGCGTGCGCCTATGTACTTCAAAACGTGATGAAACGTCAAACAAAATGCCAAATAATAATCAAAAAAAAAAAACACAATCGCCTACAAACAACAACAAATAGAAACAACAAAAGCAATCAACTAATAATAAATGTAAGTGCATACTTGAAATATTTATTTACCATAAACACAAAAGCGTAACACAACGTGCCACAAGCTACGCACAAATGCGCTACAACACACACACACACACACTCACACATACATACAGACAGGTGACGGCTTTCGTAATGAAAGAAGGTGAGTAGGTAAGTAGGTGAGTTGATAGGTGCTCTTATTTATGAGAGAACGGTGGAGCGCAAATAAAAGTAGTTAAGATGAAAGCCGAACAAAAGGCTGGTAATTCAATAAAAAATCACACAAACACATTTATAAGCATACATACACACCTACATACATGTGCACGCACATGCCACCTCAATAGAGCCTGTCATCTTCATTTTATTTCGAAAGCTAAACAATCGGTGGCAAGCAGCCAGGCCTGTTTCCGTTTACTGGTCTCATTGCCTTTACTTTATGCCAAACTTTGCTTACGCACACACACGCACACATACATATACGGGCGCTTAAGCTTCGTGCCATAACGTAAATAATATTATGTACACGTAGGAGTTGTTTTTCGTCAAGTGGCTATCAAGTTTACTCAACGCCAGCAATATGCATGGTATTTAGGCGTTCAAGAGTCTACTCAACGCTACTTAAATGCTCATTCAGCGGCGAAAATTGCCAGTAATCTACGAACAATTGATGAAAAATTACGGCTAGCATTTGATTTGACCAGCGGCGATTATGCGTACGAGGGCGGTTGGTGTCGCCAGTGCGTGACGTTTTTTTTGGCAAAATTGATAAACTCTTCAGCTTCATAGTTTTTTAAGCGTTTTCTAATTTTTATAGCTTTCAAATAAGCAGTGTACGTATAATAATATTGCTTTCAGAGATGAATTCTTATGATTCATATGTATGTAATTGAATTGTATAAGTCCACAAAAATATCGCAAAAACACAATAGCTTGATTTTGGTTAGCGAACAAAACCCCTAAACGCCTATTTTTGTTAAAGTAATCAAGAGTTTATTTAATCTCCCAAGCATTTTGATGGATTCATATTTCGCCCAGTGTAGAAAATTGCGTAAAAATTCACTTACTTCCTGCTTTTACAATGTTAACTACTCTTTTGATGTGGTTTCAGCGTTATATTTTTGAACGAGAAAATAGCTTTTAGGTTGGAATTTTTTCTCCACTGCATAACACATAGAGATGATGCCATTTCCACGACAGTCGGGTCTATGTAACCGGAACGGACCTGCATTTTTATTCGGACAATGAAAACGGGCAACTCGGCAACATTCTTGAAATTATTTCAAGAATATTTTTTGGCGCCACAACAACATAGTGCTGATATAAATTCTAAGCACCGAAAGTAGCTTCTATCCACGATGTTTAAATATCACTAAAATATTTATGGTGTCACAATTGCTTTTTACTGTTACATGTACCGTTTAGCACGCAAAGAAATTTATTGAGACTTTTCTTATCATAAAACACAATAGAACTAAAATATTATTCTAATAATTGTAATTATCATCAGCCATGTAAAAGCCTTTTTTGACCTTTGCTTTAATTCTCGTGATATTTTAGCACTTTTGTGCCTCCAATGACAGACATTATTGCACATTGTTTACACTGTTAACTATTAGTTGACAGCAGCAGCGTTTATTTTTTTTTGTTTTTGAAATATTATCATGAAAACTAACGGACTTATCAAACTTCTCTCGTCTTTGTGGCGAAGTGTGACTTTTGCTTACACTTAAGAGCGCTTAAGACTTATGTTGCTATTGTTGTTCTATAAATATTATGGCATATTATATAATTTGTTTACTTTTTATAATACGGCAACTTCAAATTGTTATATAAGTGGGCTAAATAGGGTATCGCCTTTCAATTTTCACTCTCCCTTCCGTCTCGCTGCCTTTGCTTTATTTAACGAGTCTAATTTTTTAATATTATTCTTAACGCTTTGCACGATTGGAATCAATTACCTGTGCTCGTAATGCGTAATACCGTTATTAAATATTTATAACTAATGCTTTACAACGCCAGTTACAGTTAGCTGAGTGATACTTAACGAATACGAGATTAGCTAAGTTCGGTTTGTGGCACGGTTGTTGCATGTACACCATTGACTGTAACGCATAGCCATGCATACATACAAATTGAAAAACTATATAGTCGGCTAGTCGGAAAGTCAATCGATTAAATACAAATATATGTATGTATTGATAGCTTATGTTACATATTTGTAATACTTTGGACTATAGCTATTGTTGTTGGCCGTTCTGTAAAAGTGCTTAGCGAAAGCTAACTCAGTGCTTATAAATATTTTATTAATACTTTGTAAGGCATTGGACAGACGATAAGGTACCACTAAGCGATAACACATGGATCACGAGCTGCCAAGGCGTTAAAAGTTTAGGTACATATATACGTATGTATGTGCATTAGTGAATAAACTGAGGAAATATTACAATTTTGTAATAATGGAAACAACTTATTGAGCATTTTGATTTAGCGCGTTACTTACAAACATGTGCCGAGAATATGATAAGACAGTCATGAAATATATATTTCGTAATTTTGCGAGGTGAATTTATTGTTATACTTTTATGCTTTTATTGTTGACTTCAATTTGAAGTTTAAATCATTCACAGTAACTCTTTAAAATCAATATTCCATGGAAACTAATAATAGCAGATAACTTTAGCTGTTGTGTGAGTTTCTTGAGTAATAGCCAAGAACACTATCAAAAATTAGTGTGATAAGAAACTACTTAAAATCAAACAAAAAAAAACAAAACTTAACTCCGGTTGCATCGAAGCTATAATGTCCTTCAGAAATAAAAAGTTTCCATACATTAACTTGATTTTGATCAGTCTGGACAATAATATATTGGACAATAATACATGTCAAAATGCGTGAATATAACTTGTAAAAAAATAAGTTTTCAATACAAGTACTTGACCTTGATCATTCAGTTTGTATGACAGCTATATACTATAGTGGTTCGATATCGGTGGTTCCGAATCATAAACTGTCAGATTGATATATCAAAAACTGTCAGACTTGTACACATACCATTTACTTTGAGGTGGGAAAAAGAATAATCAAAGAAATTTAATAAAATTCAGAAGACGAGTTATCAGCGCTAAATTTATGCCATTGCAATGCGATTTGTAGCACATTTCAATTAATTTATTAATCAATGTGTACGACTAATTTTGTGCACCAAGAAATTCTCCAGCGAGTAAAAAGGGAATTTATTTTCAAAATCCATAAAAAATTACAAAAATTATTTATCATAGTCAAAAAAACAAAAAAAAAAGCATAAATTAAATATTTTTCTCATCAACGCAAAACTGATTACGCAAGACATTTAATTAATATATAATACATTTTTTGTAATTCTAATCAAATTTTGGCGACATTGATTTACACAGAAGTAAGTTAATTAGCGATAGTAGGGCTAGAATCTTACATAAGGTCTGAAATAACAACTCTTTCTATATTTATACCATATATACTAAAAGCTCAACTGCTCAACTTGACATTTTGTGGAGTTTGAAGAGTGCTTACATCACACTGTGCTCAACTTCTCAGTACACAGGTGCTGAGCAAAATTTACGCTAACCTGTGCTAGTATTTATTTTCCTAATTTTAGCTTGTGGAATTAAGTAAAAAATAGTTTTTTTCGCCAATTTAAATGCCAATTTTGTTATATAATTTATTATTACTAGTAATCCGCCTTAATTTTCTTTTTTTTGTTTAACATGACATTTATTATTTTATTACAAAATATTTATAACTAGTTTTTGGTACTTCATATGCCAATATCATAATGATAATATATTTAATTACTAACCAACTAACCATTACTTCTCGGTAATTTTATTTGTTTGATTTGACAACTGAACACGCTACAATTAAATAATGATTATATATTTAATAACTAAAAATTACTTTTAATTATTTTTTATTTGACAATTATTATTTAATTGAAGTAATGATTATGTATTTAATTACCAACCGTTACTTCATTGTAATATTATTTTTTTAATTTAACAAATGGTAATTTTGGAAAATACATAAAAAAATTTTTGTTTTACTTTATGCCACAATTTAATAATGATTATAAAGTTAATTACCAATCATTACTTCTGTGTATGTTTTTTTTATTTTGACAGCTACTATTTGATCGAAAATAGTTTTAAATACTTTTTGTGCAAATTTTTCCATTTAGTAATGATTATATATTTTTTTACCAAACATTATTGTAATTTCGTTTGATTAATATGGCAATTATCTTTTCATAAATAAAACAAATCTCAGAGCCGTTATTTGTAACTTAATATCCGTAGTTAAGTATTGAAAAATGCCAACTATTTGTAAATACATATCTACACATATTAAAAAACTTCCATTAATTATGTTTTTAAGGCCCTTGAAAATTACCGAACGCCGCAGAGGTCAAATGGGTATGGTAAATTACACAAATCAAAATTAATGAAATAAAAAACAAATAATTGTTTACTGCTAACAATACAAAGAAAATTGTGAAAAAGCATGACGCATGTATATACATATGTATGTATGTGCACTGGTATTTAATATGTCTGCTAAGTATACAAATTGCGGCTGAAAACTCCCAACATATAAGCGCATTAAATAACAACAATAAACCGACAATCAAACCCAATGTAGTGTCATTCGCGATAATTTATCATTTATTGGGGTTGTTGTTGTTACCGCCGGCCCTGCTGCTACTTTGGTATGTATTGTGGTTATCTTCTACACTATTAAATAATTGTTAAATCTCAGCGGTAAGTGCTTTTTGTTTCAACCGACTTTGCTTTGCGGTTTGAAATTTTCATTTCGACGATTTATTATTTCGTGTATGACTGGCGAAGTTTGAATAATTACTAAGAGTCAACGAGTGGGAAAGAGAGAGAGGGAGTAAGACAAACGTGAGAGGGAAACCATAGCATGCGGCACATCAAACAAAAGGGGAGACGTAAGTAATGAAGATAGCATTAAAGTTAAACAGCAATGAGAATGCGGCGCGAAGAGGAGGGCAAAGGCAAAAGAGGGCAAAAACGGCATGCCGCGACGAGCGTTAAGGATTATAGATTAAGGAAACACGTGGCAGAGTTGGGAGAGTACATTACACTTCAAAGTAAGAGTGAGGCAAAAAGCATTGCATATTAACAAAGTCATATAGATTTGGGCATAGCGGAGATAATGCGCCAGTAATCCGTTAAATAATATGAAATGTTGAGATGTGGCAAGGATTATTTTGAAAGCAGATGACATAAAATATTAAGCAGTCAATGGATTTGTATAAGAGATCAGAACACATGCTTTGTGTTGACAACAATAGCAAAGTAGTGGTGAATATTAAACAAATACCGGTGGAAATATGAATAAACATATATTATAATGCCTGAGTATGAAAGAATGAAAATAGCAGAGTATACCGACTGCGACGAACTCTTAAGGAAGTATTGGGCGAGCTGTTATCAGGACTTTAGGATAATGTATAAAGGGTGTGCAACTGGAACAAAATACACATTTATGTAAAATATACATTTTATGCCTAAATATAGGCAATATTTTTTTTAAATATTTTAAACTGGTATTTAGATTTTTTTTTAGGTTAGGAAACCTACAGGGACCTTTATCGCAGTCTTGCTGTAATCTTTCTCGCAGAATTGCGTAAGTCGCCGACATTTTGAATATTTTTTTGTAAAACTTGCATTGAAAAATATATGCTAGCTTTCTTAAAAATTTAATATGTTTAATGTATTACAATCAAAAACTTTCTATAAAAAAATCTGGCAACGCTTCCATTATTTTGGTATTCATATCAAACTTATGATTATAATTAAACTATTTTTTTTCTTTTTTTTTGGTGTAAGCCTGTATAATAAGCATATGCAAAGCGCCCAAATGTAGGCAACATTTTAGTTTACAATGAAAACCCGCCGCGCTAAACAAGGATACTATTGAAAGAGCAAGCTGTAGCAAGCTGAAAATAAGATAGTTATGCATAAACTAGAGAGTTTCTTATGGCAAAGTAAGTATACGCTTCTCTAAGTAGACTTAAGATACCGCAAAGTACCGTAGTCAGCGTTAAATTAACTAACATGTATTTTTGTGATAAAAAAAATATTTGTAGTATAATTTTATCGTTAATACATATGTACATACTAAACGAGAATGACCCGCACGTAGCTGCGCGTAACAAGTGAAAATTAGAAGGGTTAATACACCATTCGTACGCTTAATAAGAACTATAATAAAACGAAATTATTTGGCAGCTGCGTTAAAACGATTAATAATAATTGTTAGATGAAATCTCTATAGCATGTTGATGGCTGCAACTAATCAGCGTGTAGAGGGTGTCGGCGGTGGACAAAGGGTTTAACGATATTTTTTGTTAGTGCTTATTTTGTTTTTTTTTTATACTTTATTGATGAACTTTTTCTTGCGATAACAAAAGAACTAACGAAAATTGCGCACCAACAACGGCAAAGTCAAAAAATCAGCAACCGCAGCGAAACTAATAGCGGTAATTATCACGCACCGGCTACAAATTATACGCAACACACAAATACACGCATGCCTGTGTGTGTGTGTGTGTGTGTGTGTGTGTGTAAGTATATGTTTATCTAATAGATATGAAAGAATTGATACCGTCAAGTTAATGTCAGGTTATGTCAGCCAAGGTGTTTGAATGAGCGTCCGAATGAGTTATGAATTTGTCGGGATGACTCACGAAGAGCATGAAGAAAATGAAAATGCCTGCTGGGCTTTTGACGCAGCAATGGCGAAAGGTTGAAAGTACCGACACAACACCTCTGACACCCGACACAGCAGGTAAGCGGCTAAGAAGGTACAAAATACCCATTTGTATTTGTATGGGGCAAAAAGTGCTGAAGTAGCGCTGAAAGGGAAATGTAAACATATTTATGCGAAACATAAGAGCGCCGCATAAGCATAACCAATTTATGTATACAAACAAACAAAAGGCCGATATAACTGCCTGCCTGCCTGGCTGCCTGTATGGGTAAGTAAATTGCAGACATGCAGACACAACAACAACAACAACAACAACAATGTATGTAGGGTGTATCAAGAGCTTGTCGAAGCGGCAGCAGCAAATGCAAACCTGTAATTAACAGCAAAATAACAAGAAACTAAACGCGTTAAAAGCAAACAACAATTTAGGAGACGTGTGAAATGCAGCTAAAAGATACAGAATTAGAGAGCAAACAAGCACACACACACACACACACGTGTATATACACAGGTATACATGTGGAAATCGAGGCTGAAAAGTAGTGCACTGCAAGCAAGGAAATGAGCTATGGAAACGTAATTTGCTTAGAAATAAACGCTATGCGACAAATATGCAGAATTCAGCAACAACAACAAAACACACAAAAGAGACAAAAAGAGTGGGAGGGGGTAGGAAATAGCTAACTAACTGCCAAGCATATTTATTTGCTTCATTGAGCCGCTCATAAAAATAGTTGATGAAGTTATAACTCAGACCAAAAAAACAAACACGCGCGCACACATACAAACAAACATGCAAATGTGTAGAATCTTTCGGCTAGAGTGTGGGTTAATGCCTGAAATGTGTTAATTACAAACGTAAAATGGAACTGGGTCGATAGACTGTATTAGCCGGCTCAAACTGCTACTGCTTCGCACGCATACGCACACACACACACACATATACGCGCAAAGCAAAAAAAAAAAAACACACTGTTTCACACGCATGGCGGTTGTGTAGAAAAAACATGTCCAACTGGCTAATCTGGATAAAGTGTTCCACGCCGACGGCACGCAAGCCACCCAAAAACGCTTACGAAAAAGCCACCACCGTTTGCCGTCGGCAGATGTAACCAGTTACACCGGTGCTTGGTGGCTGGTGGCTGTTGCCTGGTGCGTGCCTTGTCGTTTTTGTTGCTTACATATGTTGGGAATGATAGAATTACATAAAACTGGAATGTTGCAAATCGAGTGCGCCGGAATATGTATATGTGTTTGTCTGTATGTATATACTATGTGTGTGCACTTGTTTTGGGGAAAAAAACGCAGCAAATTTAAAAAACAAAACAAAAAATAAAATAAAATAAAACAAGTATTAACAAGGATGTGTTGCATTTTCGATTTCCGGTGCCTGAAAATGTATTGTATAATAAGGCACTTTATGTATCGCAGAAGACACCCTTTTCGGCAACAATAGTAGTGTTGCTAAGACATGTATTGCTGTTCAAGTTTAAAACAATGTTCATATTATATATCATAAAGCATAAAATTTAATTCGATAAAAAAATAAAAAATTGTATTTCATTTAAAATATAAAAATATTGGGCAAAGTCAATTTTAAAAATTATTTCAAATGTCTACTAATTATTTAACGATTTTCCGATTTTTTTGCATAACTTTTATTCATATTCTTTACACTTCTAAAAATTTTAGCATAACATGTTTGAAAATTATTTTAATAATTAAGATAAAGTTAAGCGTTTACGAGATATCCATCGTTAAAAATCAAAAAACAAAATTATAAAATGAAAAAATATTTTTAAAAATTGGAACAAAATTTAAAATTAAAATAAAAATTAAGAAACTAGAGCAGTAAATTTCCTAAAAAACTAGAGTTTCCAATAAAAATAAATTTTTTTTTCATTGAAGAATAAAATGCATAAGAAAAAAATAATTTGCTTAAAATAATCAAATTTCAACCGTTAATATCGTTCAAACGCTTAGGTTTACGAAAAAATAGTACCGTTTTGTAAAGCGTTCAATTTTCTACAAAAGCTTTGAAACGATGTATTTTATTTTTAGGTAGTTGGAGGCGAGATATGATTTTCTCTATCTGATAATAAGAAAAAACAAAAAAAAACTGTAAGACGCAGGACCTTTCCGTTACAATTAAGAGCTCATACTTACAGAGATTTTCGTTGTAGTATCGAAGAATATATTTTTCAGAGCACCAAACGAAAAAACGTAAAAATAAATGAATAACATCAGAAATCACGCAAACGAAGTATTTTTGTTTATATTGTTAATGTCGAAAATTATTTTACAACAAAAAATATTATAACTATATTTTAGATTTATCTTTTTTTATCTCGATGCAAAGTGATAAATGTGAAAATAAATGAATATTTCCGGAAAAAATTTCGTTTTTTTTTATCCACCCTAATGTAGATTCGCTTTCGTAAAATAAACAGAAAATTTGAATTTTTGCCTTTTTTTCATGTTTATCAATTTGTTTTCTATTTAATTTTATTACTATTATAGTTAAGGCAATCGATTTTTTCTGCATAACAGCGCAAATAATAAATTATTTTTTAATTTAAAATTAACAATTTGAATAAAACTTTGTATGACATACATACTTGTATATTGTTCATAAGTGATCCCACGTTAACGATCTATGTAGAATTTATCAATTACTATACGCATATTTTAGGTTTATGTTTATATTTCGTTGCGATGCAGTAAAAGTAAAAATAAATGAATATTATCCGAAAAAAGCGAGAAAATATTATATTTATATTTTAGACTTACTTTTTTTTTTATCTCGATGCAAAGTAATAAATATGAAAATAAAGAAAACATATTAAGATTTTTTTTTTTAATTTTATAGTACCGCAAATTATATTACAACAAAAATATATACCCAAAAAGTATAAACACAACAAATAGATGTCAAAAGTGTAGATAAACAACTTCAATCCAAATATTTTTTTTTAGTTTAACGTTTTATTGTATATTTTAATACCAACTTATTAAAACTGTTTTTTGTGCACATTTCAGGACAAATAAGCACTTGACCTAGAACAATCACATCAACTACAACAATAATAAACAATTTATAAACCCCAAAAAACATAAATAACACGACAACAATGCCGACAACTTCCACAGCGATTTGTCAAGGAACCCTCCAAAAACCGTAAAGCACACACCCAAACAGACACTCTTACGTAGAGAGTGGCGCATATGTGTGTAGCGCCATTGTCATCTTTCCGGCGCAAAACTTCATCGGCAGCCAGGAAATCACTGTCTAATGGCAAACATTTGTAGATGTTGAATTTAATCAAGAACGCACATTTCACTCCCAATGGAGTCATAAAACACCCATTATAAATGCACGCACACATACACAATCGCTTGCGTTTGTAGAGGTGAAGAAGTCGTTAGCGATGGAGCGGTGAGTAAGGCGGCGGAAAAAAGATGAAACACTGTTTAATGCCAAGTGACAATGAAGACAAGCATAACTACCAAGCTTACAATCGAGTATAACGGTTATGCAGCGCAAGTTGGTGGGGGCGGCAATGTGCTCGCAAACAAACCAGCGGGAGCGAGTAATAACAAAGGAAATGAGCATAAACGATTACAATGGGCATGCCACTGTGTTGTTGGCGGTAGTGGAGACGGCAAGGTGAGAGAGAGAGAGAGAGTTTAAATTTACATATTTGATTTAAAAGCAATATGTGTGCGTATGTATGTAACAATATGAGTAATTGAGGAAAGAGAGCTGACAAATAATTTCCAATTTCAATTTAAAACTCGACGAATCTATCGAAAAACTGGGGAAGGGGAAGGCGACGAAGGGAGAAATTAAAATAAAGTGAAAAAAAGCCAAACACAAAGCATAGATAAATAAAGAGATAAGCAAATTTGTTGTAAAAGGAAATTTCAGCTGAAAAAATTAAAACACTCCACGCGTATGACTCGCGAGTGGATGGGCGACCGGATTACAATTAAAAGCTTGTGCTGATGCGCTGCTGTCACTAGAACTTACTCATGCGAGTTTGTTGCCATATGTACAAATATCCGAGTGATACAAGCTTACAAAAATACCGGCATACAGTGGCGATCCTTGGAATGTAAACGTTTTTCAGGGTTAATTATACATATATCATGTATCTTTGTGAATTTCTCTTGTTAGTTCAGTTGTTGTTGTTGGTGTAGTGACTTAATACATCTCTGGAAAAAAAATTGCCGACTTGACAGCCCTTTAAAGGATAATAATCGAGGTCATGCTACAGAGATATTTTGAAGTACATAATATATTTAAAGCTTTGTGGAATATACGTTTGTCACTTGTCATCAATATATACCAAGTCGTAATAGCTGAAATATTTAATAGATCTGGTTGCGTTCGTAACATCTTAGAAAACATGCTGTAGCGTCCTGTAAAGCTTCTGCGTTATTAACAAAAAATTAAATTCGAAAAATTTCGAAGAATAGTTAGGCATCATTCGTGGTGATTTGAAATATATAACGTGGTTGCTTGATAAATATAAATTCTCTAGATATATTTGGTTAATTTGCGTTTTAATAGAATTTACTCTTACTAAATAAACGTTAATTATTTTTTCAGGTTTTTGAATAAAATTTCTGTATTTCTGGTAAATTTCATAGTATATTTTTCAAATTAACTTAAGCTCTGTTAAAATGTGTTATATTCTATATGCCTTCATAAGGTTTTGAGTCACTTTCTACTTCTCTATTTTCATATCTTTTTCTATTCTACATTTTTCGATGTACATTTTAGCAACTTCTGGACAAAGACAGAGTTGCGTTTTGCTCACTTAATGTGATGTCACACATAGTTTTACTATCCAAAAAAAAATAAAAAATAAAATTTAATTTTCAAAAGTTTCGGTTCTTTTTTTGACGGATGTTTTGTGGATTCTCGGAGAAATTGCTTCGTCACGAAATTTGGATTCCAACACTTTTTTGAAAATTTTACTTTACTTTTCACGGTGAAACATTGTAAAAGTTATATAAAATCTAATTTTGTGTCATTTAATATACTGGAAGAGTCTTACGTAAATATGTATGTGAATACCTTATGCTATAGCATGGGAGCGCGAAATTATTTTTCGGGCCGTCAAAGTGTAACGAACGGAAATCAGCTAGCGAAAAGGGCAATATAAGCGATGATGACGATGTGATGTGTAGGAAACAACCCTGAGGGCTTCAACACACACACACATCCAAACGAGTGTGCCACCGAAATGCGAAAGCCCTCGGCCAACAAAGCAATGATGTCTGCTGATTACTGTTACCGCCCACAGCCGCCAACGCGTAAAATTCAATTAATATAGCAAACAACCGAACAACAACAACAAAAACAATGTGGAGTACGTACTTGCAATCAAAGGTTGACGCATAAAAGCGAAAAATTGGATTGATATATATGAATGAATCAAAAACGAAGAGAAGAAGAAGAAGCCGAAAGTAAAAACAATGCGAGCTACAATTAAAACAACAATAACATTTGCAAAATAATAACAACATAAGGCAACAACGTCAAAGCAAAAGCAACAACCGTCAAAGCAGTGGCAGCAGCAGTAAAACAACAACAATTGCACCCCCGCAAGCTGCCAAAGCAATAACCAAGGCTAACAACATGTTTAGCTAATTAACACAAGGGCAGCAAAAAAGCAGTGCGATGTATAGCCGAGCGCAATAAAGCGAAAAAACACAAAAAAAATGCACATACATGCACACACACACACACACGCACGCTTGCATATGAATGAAGAGAGAATATGCAGCATGTAGCAGTAGCACCGGCAGCAACATAGCCAACAACCGGCAACAATGTTGCGGAAACACAATGGAATGCATAAAACAACAACTACCACTAACTACAACGCCAACAATAGCATAAGCAACAACCACAGTCGTAATGAGTGAGCGCAACATGTAGCATATCAGCAGGCGCATATCATGCTCGGGC